TAGTTGTCACATGTGTCAGGAACTTGGAGATCATTTAGTCCATTCCACAGATAAGGAATCATGCTCGGAGATGTGGAGTGATTTGTCCAGAATCACCCAGTTCCTCTGCTTTGAGCAGAACTGAGCATTCCAATTCCTGTGGTTTGAGATTCTTTATAGAAGCAAACAATCAGACTTAAGTGCCAAACAAGGATCTGGCAAACCTTGACCACCTCCAAGAAAAAAGCAGAGGGCCAGGGAAGCTGATAGAGAAGACTTCAAAAGTATAGGGTAGGAGTGCCAGGAGCTTCAGACATGGTGGGGCAATGCTAGGAAAACCAGCCACAAAAGGGTAAGGAAGAGAAATATGGCTGTTGGGGCATTCACAGAATTGTGCAATCATCACTACCATCCATTTTGGAACATTTGTATCACTCCAACAAGAAACCTCATATATATTAGCAGTCATTCCCCATCCTCATTCTCCCCGCCCCTGGAAACCACTTATCATCTACTCTGTGTCTCTATGGATCTGCCTATTCTGAACACTTCATATAAATGCAATATGCAGCATTTTGTGTCTGGCTTTTTTCACTTAGCGTAATGTTTTTGAGGTTTATACATACTGTAGCATGTATCAGTAGTTCATTCCTTTTTTATTGCTGAATAATATTCCATTGTACAAATATATCACATTCTATTTATCTACTCATGAGTTGATGTATCCTGGCCATTTTTGAGCCCACCTTAGGACTCAATGCGTATTAGTTCAAAAAGCATTTTTCCATTAAGCATAAATTGTGAATTTAGGAGGAAGATAGATGAGATATCCTAGTCCTGACCATTTTATCTTCTTACCAAAGTTTGTGATGGGGGAGGATAGAGCCTTGAGAAAGACAAAAGAGGTTTGCAATGTGTGAGACCTATTTTTTCTGAACAGAAGGGAATCTGAGGATATAATTATAGCTAAAGTGTTAATGACTTAAATCTTGGCTCCTTTTGCACATAGCATGAGGAATGTGTGGATGGTTTCAAGAACTATGGCAGGCCTAGCCGGAGGGTAGAGGCCTGGCAGGCCTTCTGGAGAGTTCATCACACACAGACAGAGATTGGCTGCTGTAACACAGATCCTCCCTTCCATGCCCTCTCTTCCTCTTTCACCCCATGGAAACATGCTCCCCTTGAGGCCTTGTTTTGAGAATAATGGAAAAGGAAGGGAAGACTGGTCGCCACTGGTCCAGTGACTCCCCATGAGTGCAGTCATTTGACACAGCACCAACTGGTGCACATAATAGGTGCTCATTTGATTTTTTGCATGAACAGTGCAGAATATCTGAGTAGGAATGAGCTGCATCAAAAGAATGAGAGTTCCTTTAAAAGAAAGTCTCCACTTGACAGGAAAAAGTTCAGAGAGTGAGGAGGAGAATTTATGGAGGTGTGACCCCCAGGTAGCTGATAAAACTCAACCCTGACAGATTCGTCCTTCATGGAAAGATTCCATCTTTCCTCTAACTTATGTGTCCTTTGCTGAGGACAGTGGGAAGCACTTGATTCAGCTGGTGGTTCTAAAATTGAGGTAGATTTCAGTACAAAGAAACCCTAGCATTTCCCTGAAAAGATGCTAGACAGATTTCTAACAACATCTGGGAGGCCTATTTCTCTTGCTTTATGAAACCAGGTCTTGCATCCATTCTTCTTCCATGTCAGAGATCCTAGTGGTAAAAAGCAAATACAGGAAGAAGAAATGAAATGCATATCTGTCCCAGGCCACATGTCAGGTCTTTCTTGTCTTGGGCTTGTCTCCTCCTTCCACTGAGTAATATCCACTGTTCCCGTTGTTACTCAATTAATTAATCTCATCAAACTGAGTAAGGCTTATCTTAGGGATTCTCAACCAATGCCTCCCCACAGAGTCTCTCACTCTTCATTCCGTGGACCTCCACCAGTCAATAACAGCTTATGAAATGTTACATTGGGTAGTTTGTATTATAAAAGCAATACATATGCTAATTAGGCCTCCCTAACTCTTCATAATCCTTCCTAGCAGACCCCCACACTGCCAGGAGGGCTCTAGACTGACTTCTCACTTATTCTTTTGGCATATTTGGATTGGCAGGCCAAATCTGTGCCAAATTGTTCACTTCTACTAATCTCTCGAAAAGGAACCTCAAGATGGAATCTTGGAATGGATTAATAGTCTAGTCTATCTTGGCAAAGGGCAGCCATTGACCTTTTTCTTGACTCTAATCCTTCAAATCCTTGAAGTTAAGGTGTCAGCTGAAAATAATAAAAAGAAAAAGAAATAATCCTTCAAATCTTTATGCCAACACCTTTGGCGGAAGTGTATATTTGAGCCACCACTTCTCAGGACAATTTGGTAGTATCTATAAACTTTTAAAACACACAAGCCTTTGACCCAGTAATTCTGCTTCTAGACCAGGACTTCTCAAACCATCTGTGGCAGAACACCAGACTTTAAAAACCTCCAACTTGTCATGAATCATTGGTCGTGGATGTCATGGCCACCTCAAATTGACATAAAACTCTCAATATTTGTATTTATCTCATCACAAACCAGTAACATCCAGTTTGCAGATCTGGTCTGCATTGGTCTGCAGACCATTCTTTGAGTACCACTATACTAAACTTATTTTATTCTATAAATATGCATGCGTGTGAACACAAAAACAAAATGTTACAGAATAATTTATAATGGTAAAAAATTGGAAGCAATCTAAATGTTCAGCAATAAAAGACTAGGAAAATACCTTACAGTGCATTTATATAATGAAATGTTATGCAGCCTTGAAAAAGAAAAATATACACTCTGAGAAATATTAAGTGAAAAGAGCAAATGCAGAGCAGTGTTATAGTGTTTGCTCATTTATAGTTAAAGAGCAATTAAAGGCTTAGATGTGCACTGAAAACTTACAGAGGTGGTTGTGGCAGAGACTGCTAGCTGTCTACTAAATCTGTTCCCCCTTTTCTCCATGGTTATAGACTTTCTACTGGGCATATTTCCTAGCATATCTTGTGGTTAGGTGGGGTCAATTAGGTAACCAGAAGCTGTGTGCCACTGTTGAGTCTGGACCTTGAAACATGGTCCATGTAATCTTTCTTCCTATTTGTCCCCTTGCCTCCAATTGGAACCCAGTCATGGTGGTGACCTAGCATGGACCACACAAATGGTGCCAATTCTCTAAAAGACAACAGAGCAACAAGAGAATGGAACAAGGGATCTCGAACAGCCATGTAGAGCAAGGCTACCTTGCCAACCTTCACTCTTCTCAGTGGGACTATCGTGGGAAGTTTAGAGAAATGAAATTCTGCATTGTTGGGTCTCTTTATTATAGCAGCTGAGCCTTTATACTTATAATATGGAAGAACAGACAAGAATCTTTAATAGTCATTGCCTCTAGGAAGCAACAACATGTTGCGGAGAAGTTTAAACTTTGTTGTGCAATCTTTTGCAAAATTTGAATTTTTAAAAACTTATATGCAAGAATTAGCATTTTTAACAAGTATTATTTTTAAATGATAATAGAAAACAGAACAATGTTGACTTTCTCATTGAAAAGTCATAGGTCTGAGTTTCTCATACCAGTATCTTTAATTGAGGAATAAGTGAGTTTCGGAAACAAGCATTTTTATTAGTCACTGATTTCACTGTCTTCACTGTATGAAGATATTTACTGAGGAGAAAGTAAAGCTGTGTGTGACTTTTGTTAACTTTTGATTCTGTCAACAGAACACTACCAAAGTGCACGAGTTTAACAGATTCTTAATTACTAATGCTACTGAAAAATCTTCATTTTTATTTTATTAATACCAAAATAATCAGGGGACATAGGAATGAACTTCTACCAGACAACAAATTAATGTGGTAACAGCAGAGATGTTATGGACTGAATGTTTGTGTCCCACCTAAATTCATATATTGAAAGCCTAACCCCCAATGTGATGGTATTTGGAGGTGGGGCTTTGGGAGATGATTATGTCATGAGAGTGGAGCCTTCATGAATGGGATTAGCACCTTTATAAAAGAGACCCCAGACAGTTTTTTCATCCTCTTCCCACCATGTGAGGATAAAAGAAGTCAGCAGTCTACAACATGGTAAGAACCCTCATCAGAACCCAGCCATGGTGGCACCCTGGTCTCAGACTTCCAGCCTCCAGGACTATGAGGAAAATAAATTCAATTGTTTGTGAGTCACCCAGTCTGGTACTTCGTTAGAGTAGCCCAGATGGACTAAGACAAGGGCTGAGCTCTAATTGCCCCTACCATTCTTTTTAGGGTGGCCCCTCATAGAATGATCTTGTTTTAGATGTTTGTCACTATGCCTCAACAAGCACAAGCATAAATATCTTCCTAAAAACTCATCGTGGTCCCCAAACAGGGTTCAATGTGACAAAACTAAATTGTCCTTGGCAAACTTGTGCTGATTTCCACTCTGTCCATATTCAATAACACCATGACACACCATTTTGGCCAGTTCTTTAGAAATACATATTTAAAGACAACTCATCCTGCAAGATTAACTAAGAGGGTGTACTTCAGGAAGGGTAGTGATTGGAGGTTTTTCTTCTTCTCATTCTGAAGGGACTTTATTTTTTTGTGCTTGGATAATTTTCAATTATTCTCAGGTAAATTTCATAAGATGCCTCAAGATTCATACCTATACTGGGTAGAGGATGCTATGGACGGATGCAGATGAACTATGAGAGTGGCAGAGGTAGTAAGGGGTGCCAAAGTTATTTCATTTGGGAGAATTGCATAATGGCTACCAACAGCTAGGCATTCTGATTTTATGTTTTCTGAGTAGGAAATTAAGGTAGAATTAATTTCTCTATTAAAAATTATCTTAATTTTAAAACTTCATGAAAACTGCTTCCTCTTTAATTTCTACCAAAGATTTAAAAAAAAAAATTCTCAAAAAAACCCAGCATAGAAGGTAATGTCTTTTACATTATAGACCTATTTCTCTACCATATATTTATCATACACTCATTACGTGAAATGAAACATTTTTATTCATTCATTTAAAGATTTACAACAATGGCATTTAACAAATACTCCAAAAGCTTCTAATTTAGCTACATACTTTTAAAAAATGATCAAGAAGTAAAAGACACTTAAAAAACTATCTTTCTCAGCCTTTCAAAGGCATCTAAACCTTAGAAGTCAAATATTATAGCCCATATTTGTACAAGTAATTGTAAAAATGACTAATGCAACCACAGCATAATATAACCATGTAGCCACAGATTTATGATAAATCTAAACAGTAGCTTAATATCAGAACTACTAGTCACAGTGGAAAAAGTTCTTAGATATTGAAAAGAAGGTCTATTAGGCCAGCTGCTAAGATGGCCCACAGTTCCCCATCTCCTGATATTCACAATCTATGATCAAGATGGTAGGCTGTCCCTGATGGCAGTCCAGGGAAAACGGTCGATGACCAACTGAGGTAATAGCAGCCCACCATCTTGGTCTTCACCTGCTTTACCTGGACTGAGGTGGTCACTCCCATGGAGCTGGCAGGGCCTGTGGTTTACTTCTAACAAATAGAATATGGCCAAAGGCTGGGATATCACTTTACTGATTAGATTACAAGAGACCGTGACCTCATCTTGCTAGCAGCCTCTCTCTCTGTTGCTGGCTCTGATGAAGGAACCTGCCTCGTGAGAGAGGTCCACATGGCAGGGAACTGAGAACAGCCTTTGGCGAATAGCCCAGGAGGAACTGAATCCTGAAAACAACCACCTGGGTGGGAGCTTGGGAGTAGATCCCAACCCCAGAGATGCCTGTGGTCCTGGCTGACACCTACATTGCAGCCTCCGAGAGACCCTGAAGCAGAGGACCCAGTTATGCTGTGTCTGGACACCAGATCCACGAAAACTGTGAGCTAGCAAATGTGTATTGTCTTAAGCCACTAAGTTTTGGGGTAATGTGTTACATAGCAATAGCTAACTAAGACAGAAAGGTCATTGCTTTGCATTTTTATTATGGTATGAAGCCATGACTTAACATCAGTTAGTACTGCTTAATGGAATCAACATACAAATTGTTATACCGTGAGTCATTTTCAGTTAAGACCACATTTTTCAAACTTTGCCAAAACAAGCCTTCTGCCTTTGGGTTGTCAGGCCATTGGAGGATGGAGCTCTTACAGATCCGCTGCCGCAGCCTCAAATACTGAGAATGCTGCAAGACTGGCTCCAGCAGGATAAATACAATCACATCCATGTTCTCATCCATTAGCCTCTGCAAGGCCAAGTAGAAAGCTGTTTTAAAGTTCCAGCTTTTTGCATATTTTTTGGTTAAAACAAAGATTGTTTTCTTGCTCTGGTTGATGCTCTGCATGAGGTTATCGATGATGGCCAATCCCGGGTCCCAATCCCTCTCTTCTAAACAAAGGAGAACATTTTTTTCTTGACTCTCTTCAAGGTGGTAGCGCAGCTCGTTTATCACCCAGTCGGTAACAGAGGCATCTTTGGTGTCATAAGAAATGTAAGCATCATAGAAAGTTTGGGATGTGGAAAGAGACCTATAGCCTTTTACCTTAGCTAGACACACATGATAGATAAACCAAACATCCCAGCAAAACAAGTGGTGAGCCAGGGCGGTCAACATAACCATGGTGGTGATAAAGAATGAGAAGAAAAATAACACCACCGCGATGGTATCTGAAACACAAGTTGTTAGCTCCAGACTCACGATGCTCTTCCCTCTCTGATCCCCGGGACTGGCACAAATGACATCTGTCAATCTAGGAATTGTTATATTCAGATTTTCATCCATCCACCTTCTAAAATCTCCAATGTCACAGGTGCAGTTGAAAGTGTTTCCATGTAGTTCCAAAAGAGATAAATTGGTGTTCTTCGTCTGAAGCGTGGATTTGTTGATCATCTTTAGCAAGTTGAAACTTAAGTCGAGGTGCACCCGCTGCGGATTTCGGAAAAGAAGCCAGAGGGCAGGTAGGAAATCCTGTTGTGACTCAGCCGCAGTGTCCGAAGGGAGGATGGAAATGTAAACAGGCTATCAGTTAGAAAGTACAGCTTGTTTCCATGTAAGTCAAGCAAGCTGAGCCGTTGAAACTGCTGGAGTAATGTCCAGTTAAAGAAATTTAACCTATTATCACGTATACGTAGTTCGGTGAGACCGTGGGGCAAATTACTGAACACATCGTTTGGGATAGATGTCAGTCTATTAAAGGATATATCAAGCCGTGTCAGATTGGTGAGACCTTTAAAAATGGAGATGTACCTATTATCTTCATTCCACAAAATGTCCAGGCGATTCCCACTGAAAACTAATTCTTCCAGGGACTTGCTTTCCAGATTATACTTTTCTGTTAAAGTATAAATGCCGTTGTGGCTCAAGTTTAAAACTTTTAGCTGTGTTAAATTTTCAATAAATTGTAGACGATGTGTTACTCCTGCTATTTTGAAATAGTGTGAATTGTAGCTGAGATCTAGAACTTCTAAGTTGTCCAAGTCACTGAGGGCATGAACATTATCAAAGTCTAGTGCATTCTTTGTCAAATCCAAATATTTGATTTGACGCACGGCTGAAAATTCAGTTCCATTTAACACCTGAGCATTGTCGTTTGAAGACAGATTTAAGCAGGCAATGTCATGAAAACCTTCAAATTGCTTTCTCCCAATAAAGAAAATATTGTTCAAGCTTAAATCTAAGGCTTTGCCATAGCCTGTACATTGTGGCTTTATTAAAGGACTGGTCGTATGATAAAAATTCGAATGTGGGTCAAACTCAGTATGAATTGAGCGTCGTTTAAGGATATGACTTTGGAAAGAGGAATTGTCTGCATAATTCTGCCTGATATCACTCACAAAGGGTGATATTCTGTTTTCTGACAAGTAAATAATTTTCAGTTTGGAGAAATTTTGGAAAAGAGTAAAGTCAATTTGCTTAATAAAGTTAATACCCAAGTTAATAGTCGTTAAGTTTGGAAGCCCCATCAGTGGCTGGAAATCTTCTTTCCTAAGTTCCTGGAACACATAACCTCTTAAATGCAATGCCTGGAGAGACGAAAGTTTAGAGAAGTTGTTGGAAATATTAATATATTGTGGATATTCTGTTTTTACATAGTTAAAAGATAAATCAAATATTTCTAAGTGGGGCAGCTTCGTTAAAAATGCCCCAGAGGCTATTTCTTTCACTAAATAGTTGAATTCAAGATGCAGCACCTTCAGACAGGGCATATTTTCAAACCAGGTTGCAGGAACCTCCCGGAGGGAAGTGCTAGAGAGGTTTAGGTATTGAAGTTTAGTCAGGTTTTGAAAAGCAAGAGGATGTATCTGAATTGAAGCATCTTTATCACAAGGTGTGCATGGAAACGGCGCATTGAAACACCTCGGACAGTTCCCGCTTAAATCTAGTGCTATTAAATTTGTCAATCCCTTGAAGTCTTCTTGACTGATCTTTTCGATCTTGGCATTGCTCAGATAAAGTTCCAGTAGGGAGTTGGGCAGTTTTGGTGGCACGTGGAAAAGAGGATTGAAAGATAGTGACAGCACCTTCAAGTTAGTCAGGTTTTCAAATGCTCCATTTTCTATGTCAAGCGTTTTATTACAAACTTTGTTAAAATAGCAGTTCCAGCCCAAATAGAGTCTTTCCAAGTTCGTAAGTCCTGAAGTATCATTTTTAGTTACCCCATTTATATTGTTTTGAATTAGACTAAGTTCTCTCAAAGACCCTGGCAGAGCAGCGGGTATTTTGAGTAACTGACTATCTTCAAGCAGTAACACCCTTAGGTTTTTCAGGTCGAGGAATGCCCCGTCTGTAATAGTCATGCCACTTTTATTCATATCAGGATTTTCATACTCGTACTGTACACTGGGGTTGTAGTTTAGATTTATTTTAGTGAGATTTTGTAGGCCTTGAAATGATTCATTCGTTACGTATGTGATGAAGTTATCAGACAGGTCCAGTTCTGTCACATATTTGCCCACTGTTTGGGGAACTTCTTGCAGTCGACGATGGCTGCAATCTGCAATAACAGAGTCATTTCGCTTTTTCTCATCACAAGGATAGCTTCTAGAATGACTTGCTTCAGGGAAGAACTCACAGGAACCAGAGATTATCAGGAAAAGGCAGGTCAGAACTGAAGACTGGAGGGACATGTTTTCCTAAGGAAAATCAAGAATGGAAGCACACTATTAGGGCAGCAGTATTATTTGCCAGGCGTTTCATAATGAAATTAACAGTGCTGTACCATGCTTGTATGAGTTTTGAAGTGTGAATTCTCTTAACAATTAGATAAGTTGCATCAAATTAGGTTCAGAATGATTTCACATTTTTACTGTGCTCAGCTTAATGGTGCCAAAAGAAGTTGAAGATGAAGCTACCTGTGATTATGATGATGAGAAGACTTGGAAAACTTTTGCAGAGGCCATTAATCAAGATGCCCCACTACCATAATGAGTCTGAGCTGGACCATGGCTGTAGTTCATACTAAGTCTATAGCTTAACAAGCTATATAGTTATAGCATCAACCTATGGGCATAACTCTTGATGAAACTTTGGCCAGTCCCCAAGGAGAGTTCAGATCCAACTTCTAATATGGTGTCATCCAAGATCTTCAAGGTAGAGTCATCTCCACCTTATCTATATAACCATATCTCTCACTGGTATTTCCCACAATTTTTCTATACCTCTGTGGCAATATGTATTTATTGTGTTCTCTTATCTCCTTACATGACTGGAAATTGGGCACCTAAAGCTTATAGTAATAACAAACAAACTGTCAGGTTTTGTGCTAAGTGCTTCATAAACATTTCCTTACCCACACTAATGCTCACAGGAACACAATGCAGTAGGTTTTATTATTATCCATATTTTGCAGATGAAAAAATAAACTTAGAGACTTAAGTAACTTTCAGAAGGATGGCACATTGTAGTGCTGGGACTTGAGCAAATCTGATTCCAAAATCATATTTTTAACCACTAACTATCACGCTACACAATCTCCTTTTGAAATCCTTGTGCCAGAACAGTGCCTGAAATGTAGACAGCATTCAAAAAATTGTTTGTGGAATGACTACTACTTGTATGTCCCTTATCATGCAAACATTGGCATTTATAGCTATTCATTAGCTAATTTTAAAACTTCTGTAAGGAAAACATGGTGCTTTAGTAGAGTGCCTCATTTTCTGTGACTGTTTCTTTATAAGTAGAGGGCTGAATGTATTACTTTTGGTAACCAGGCAATGCAATAAACACATTAATGTGATTGGTTTGATCAAAAGTTGTGATTAAGAGAACTCTCGGGATCTTATTTCACAGGATACAGAGACCAACTTCTACTAAATTAGATTTTTCACTAAAGCCCAACTCATGTCTTTATTGTGAGTTAAACCAGATAAGTTCCTTCTTTTGAAATTCTAAAATTTAGGGCTGGCGAACTACCACCCTTATATATCACACCTTTACTATGTTATAAAAGGTCTTTATGTGGATGTTGATTATTCAGAGGACCAATAATTATTGCCCATTTGTAACAGCCAAGAAAAGCCAGCTCCTCATGAGATGAAAATTAAAGTAGAGCAGAACTCCCAAGCATTTTCAATTGCTTGCAGTTATTTTCTTTCTTTTTTTTTTTATTTCAGCATATTATGGGGGTACAGATGTTTAGGTTACGTATGTTGCCCTTGCCCCCCCGCCCAAGTCCGAGTTTCAAATATGTCCATCCTTCGGGTGGTGCACATTGCACTCTTTGTGTATGCATATACCCGTCCCCCCTCCCCCCTGCCCAACATCCAATAGATGTTATTCTTATATGTGCACTTATGTGTTGATCAGTTAATACCAATTTGATGGTGAGTACATGTGGTGCTTGTCTTTCCATTCTTGGGATACCTCACTTAGTAGAAGCTTGCAGTTATTTCCAAATACAGCACTATCAAGACGTTGCTGCTTAATGTTTAACTCATACTAAAAGAAGGCCCTGCTTTTACCTGGTGTGGTAGGCAGAGTTTTAAGATGGGCCCCATGAATTTTGTCTCCCGGTATTACTCCTGTGATTACACTATATTATATGGCACGTAGGAGATTACATAGATGGGCCTAATGTAGTCATATGGGTCTTTAAAAACAGAGAGTTTTTTTCTGGCTAGTGGCAGAAGGAAAAGTCAGATAGATAGGGAGCATGAGAAGAATTGGATGCACTATTGCAGGCTTGAAGATGGGGCCCCATGACAAGGAAGGCAGTCAGCTAGCATGGAAATAGGGGAGGCGGGGGTGTCAGTTCTTACAACAACAGCAAGGAACTGAAATCACCGGACAATCTGAATGAACTTGGAAATGGATTTTTACCCAGAGCCTAGCTTGGACGACACCTGGATTTTCGCTTTATAAGACCTGGAGCAGAGGACTCAGGCATACCTGCCTGGATTCTAACCTACAGAAATTTAAGCTAGTAAGTGGGTGTTGTTTGAAGCCTGTAATTTGGGGCTATTTGCTGTGCAGCAAAAGAAAACTAATACGTCTAGAAAATATGGGCTATAAGATGATTTATGGCTTGAAAACATGCAGCTCCTGCAGAGGCAGCCATGGGTCTTCAAGGTCAACATCTGCACTGGAAGACACAGGCACACCAAGGGGACAATGAAGCTCAGGCATTCGAGGAACTTTGGAGATGGGGGAATGTCCCAGGCAATGTTATATTTGCTTGGGCACCTAAGCAGAACTAAGCCTATGTGATTTCCAAGTCTGAACATTGCTAGATTTGAAAGTCACTTTCCAACTCTCCTCTGCCTTAATTAGCTAGTGGGTGGCCTGGGGAGTCTATTTGGTCACACTCACAATTTATGGACTGGCTCACAGACTATTGGTTAAAACAGACATGACTTAAACACGGTAACATTGCGAGATGTCACAAAGAAGTACATGATACTGTAAGAGCCTAAAAAGAGATCTACTCATGGAGGCCAGGGAAGACTTCCCTGAAGACATGAAACCTGAGCTGTGATTCAAGGTTGAATAGGCATGTATAAGGCACAACTAAGACGTCAAAGGAATATTCCAGGCAAGATGAGCAGCATGTGCAAAGGCTCTAAGTCTATTCCTGTGAATTTTCCAGGCTACGCCTTCAAAGAAGCCTTGGTCTAGGAATCCAGAGAGATTGGTGTGGGCCTGAGAAAGGCACATCAGGTTTCAAGTTCTCAAAGCTGGTTGAAGCCTGCACAGAACTGCCTGCAACGCTAGAGCCCAGAGTAAGAGATAGGGCCCGGAGGATCGGGATGGCACATAAGAGGTGGACATGTTGCTGAAGTTCTTTGTATCTCCATGTCACCACGTTCAGTGGACATTTTTAAGTCCTCGTCTTATTGAGCACATAAATGGAAGGGACTAAAAGAAAGCCAAGGACTCGAGAAAAGAACAGAGTGGGTTTAAAAAATCATTTATTTAAACTGACAACTAAAAAGTGTATGTATTTATGGTGCATGGCATGATGTTTTGTAATATGTATACATTGTGGAATAGCTCACTTGAGCTAATTAACATAAGTATCACCTCACATACTTATCACTTTTTTATGGTGAGAACACTTAACACGGACTTTCTTGGCCATTTTCAAATGTACAATAACTTGTTATTAATATAGTTGCCATGATGTGCAATGGATCTCTTGAACTCATTCCTCCTGTTGCACTGAAATTTTGGATCCTTTGGCCAACATCTCGCCAATCTCCCTGTCCCCCAAGAGTAGATGTAGATTTTGATTTTTTATCTGAGGAGTAATGTGAGCCTTTGAAGGTTTTAAGCAGGGTGGCACCATGCTTCAATTGATTCTGCAGTGGTCACTGGCAAGAGGGCACAGAACTCTTGAGGTGATGGGAACTTGAACTAGATTGTTGGCAATGGAGAAAGAGAGAAATGGATTCAAGAGGTGCTTAGGAGGTCCATTTGAGAGACATAGCTAGGGGTGTTTAAATGGGTTGGGGTTTGTGAGGGAGAGGAAGGCATTCAGAGTAACTTCCAGGTTCCTGATCTTAGCACCTGGATGGATGAGTGACAATCTTCTGAGAAAGAAGATTGTTTGGGGAGGCAGGATATTAGCAATTAAATTTGACATGTTAATTTTGAGTTGAGTCTATGATATTCAAGTGGAGATGTCCAGTAGGCAGTTGTGTATATGGGTGAAAACTCACAGGAGAGTTCTGATAGAAGAATGAATCTGGGAGTCGTGGTAATTAAAACCATGGGTATGAATGAGATCATTCAGGGCAGTGTAAGGCATAAAGGATCTTCCATACTTTAGTTCTATTAACAACAATTTTCTCGCCTTTTTTTCTAGTAATTTTATGATTTTACTTTCTTACACTGAAATATCTTATCCCACTAGAATTGTTTTGGCATAAAATGTGAGATGTAGACCAAGACTATTTTTTTTTCTAGATGGAGATTTAGTTGCCCCAACATCATTTATCGAATAATCTTTTGCTCACTGATTTGATATGCTTCCCATGTCATATACTAACTTTTCTGTGTGTTTGGATCTATTTCTAAACTCTTTGCTCTGTTTCATCAATCTGTTATTATTTAATACATACTTAATATAAATATTATACATTTAACATGTAAAGACTTTTTATGTATTGATGAGAAGACAAATAACCCAATAGGAAAATGGACAAAAATATATTAACAGACAGTTCACATAAAAAGGAAACATAAATAGCTCTTAAACATAGGAAAAGACACTCAACATCACTCAAAAAAATTACACTGTGATACCATTTTTCACGGATTCTATTGTGTGGGTGAGGACTGAGGAAATGGGTACTCTCATATTTTGCTGGTAAGAGTCTAAATTAGTACCACCTCTAAGATGGAGAGCAACATGTAATGTCTATCAAAATTGGAAACATATACTTGAGGTCAGCACTTTCAATTCTAGAAGTAGATCCTAAAGACATACTCTCACATATGTAAATGACTATATACAAGGATGTTCAATGCAGGGTTGTTGGCAATAGCAAAAGATTAAAAATAATCTAAATGCCTCTGAGCAGTAATCTGGTTAAATAAATTAGGTTATATTCACACAGTGAAATACTATGTAATAATTAAAAGGATAAGGCAATTCTATATTCATTCATTCATTAAATATTATTGAGCAGATATTTTATTTCAGGATCTGTTTTCAAGTTGCAGACACAGCAATGAACAAAACAGATTAAAATACGTGTCCCTTTGGAACCTATGTTGAAAGACAGAATGTTAGACAGGGGAAAGCACTACAGAGAAAAACATAGACCAGAAGGGGGATGGTATGTAGAACGTCCCTCAGCTGGGACTTGTCTGATGTTTTTGTCATGATTAGACTGACCTTACGGCTTTGGGAGAGGAAGACCACAGAGGTGAAGTGCCATTCATACCAAGGGTACATGCTATGAACATGACTTTCACTGTTGATGCAGACCTTGATCATCTGGCTGAGGTAGTGTTTGTCAGATCTCTATGACAATTTTTAACTATAGATTAATAAAAATTAATTTTTGAAAAGGTCTATGAGGAGGAATATGTCAGGGTGAGGCCAGATTCCATTCCCTTCCCTTCGAGTGCTAAACAGAGCACTGTTGGTAGGTGAGACGTCTTTAGGTGGATACTTGAGTGGGTCCAGAGGGTAAGGGCCATCCTGTGTGGCCTCACTAGCCTCAGGTTAAGGCCTCAACATCTAATCTCAAATGCAACTCTCTAGCGCGTGCAAAGCAGAGCAGTTGAGCAGAAAAGCCTCCAGGGGCCGCTAGAGACCAGGAGAGGGGCCTTTTGAGCTTCACCCTGTTCTTTCAGGATGAAAATGGCCTCCAGGAGAGTCTAAGGCAACTTAAAATAAATTATGGGCCATGGAAAATTACTGAACACGTGTTGACAAATTCCAAATAACCTGAATTTGTTGTAGGAGGAGAAGGAATGGTGAGTGGGTAGCTAGCAAAGAAGTTGACAAGGAAACCCTGATTGTTCAACCTTCTATATTCCGTGCAGGACCTCACAGAGTTTGAATAGATTGTTAATGCTAATGTCCCAGGGTGCTCCGCTAAAGCCCAGCAGAGGGAACCCCAGCTCCCACCATCCAGCTGGATCTTAGACCAGAGGGCAGAGCCCAAAGGCCCAGCAAGAGCTGCATCTCCTCAGCCAAGTTCTTCCTTTCAGCCATACCCATGCCTCTGACTACCAAAAGTTGTGGCTCCAAAAGGCTATCAGAGAGAATCTGATCCCAGATCAAGTGAGAACGGTACCAAGGAGAAGTCACCCTCACTATGGCAGAACCAATGACTAAAAGCCATCCAGGCCAGCTGTGGTGGCTCATGACTGTAATGCCAGCACTTTGGGTGGCCAAAGCAGGAGGATTGCGGAGGCCAGGAGTTTGAGACCAGCCTGGGAAACATAGTGAGACCCCACCTTTGCAAAAAATAGAAAAATTAGCAGGGCGTGGTGGCCCATGCCTGTAGTCCCAGCTACTCAGGAGGCTCAGGCAGGAGGATTGCTTGGGGCCAGGAGTTCAAACCCACGGTGAGCTATGATCATGCCACTGCACTCCAGCCTGGGGTGACAGAGCGAGATCCTGTATCTTAAAAAAAAAGAGAGAGAGAAATATGCAAATAAAATAGAGAAATGGCAACTCTGCAAATAACTTAGGGAAATGGTAACTCTGCAAATAAAATAGAGAAAAAAAGTGCAACTATGCAAATAAAATAGAGAACGAGAGAGAGAGAGAAAGAGAGAGAGAGAAAGAGAGAGAGAGAGAGAAAGAGAGAGAGGGAGAGACTTCTGTTGGTTGAACCTGACAGTTGACTGGCTCCCATTAAAGCGATCGTAAAGGAATAGAACCCTACCAGGTCAAAGAAGGCATAAGAGGAGACAACAGCAGACGAGAGATATCTACAAAGTCTAGGAAGATGGAAAGCAGATGGATGAGCAGTCGTTGGCAGAGCAGAGCAGAGCAGGCTGATGCCTAAAGTCAACCAGAGGAAAGTCCATTCGCACCACAGAGCCCAGGAAGGGCGCAGGAACTGGAGGCAGCAGGCACCTTGAAAGGTGGCATGCCAGGTGCCCTGGACAGTAGATTGATTGAACATCTGCATGAGAAGTTAGACCCCTCCTGACGCTCTCCCTCCTGAGATTTATTATCTTTGAAGGTGGAATCTGAGAGCCTTGGGCATGAGCGGAGGCAGGGGCGACTGCCCTACAGAAAACACAAGGGACGGTGTTGGCTGGACACGATGGCTCACACCTTGTAATCCCAGCACTTTGGGAGGCTGAGGTGGGAGGATCACTTGAACCCAGGAGTTCAAGGCTGCAGTGAGCTATGATCGGACCATTGCACTCTAAGCCCAGGTGATAGAGCAAGACCCTGTCTCAAAAAAAAAAAATGTATGTAGAGTACAGGACCCCACCCTCTTCCCTGTCTCTGCTCTGGGAACTCTGACGGCCACCTGGCTTATAAACACCCCACTCCGGCACCCCAGGTGGGACCCTGGAGGGTCGTCTGGCTCTGGGAATACAGACTACATGGCAGCAGGGCGGGGCCTGGGTGACGCTAGGGAGGCACACGCTGCTTGCACAAGATTTAAGGGGACATGGAAAAACTTAGTGATTGAGATGAAGACTATTCTAAAAAATTAAAAGCCACCATGAACAAAAGATCAGCGTTTCAAATAAAGGCAGGATCCGGGCCTGCACTTGCAAGACACTGCTTCACCTGCCTCTCCCCGGTCCCAGCTCTGGGTCCAGTGAAACTTTATTGGCTACAACAGGCAACCAGCCTGCAGGCTATAGTTTGCCAATTTGATTTTTTAAAATATGATGTTAAAATATTATTTATTTCAATTACTGAGCTTTTGGATGCTCCTTGCCCTCTCTTAAATTTTGCACCCAGATTGAGTGCCTCACTCACCTTCCGTAGCCCTGGCGCTGCACGGCGGAAAAGGTCTCCAGATGACGCTGGGTACAGCCCCTCAGCCCAGGGTGAGGCCCATCAGTTGGGAAGCCCTGCCCTTGCAGTTGGAGCCTCTAAGCAGCTCTTGGCGGCTTGCTCTTGAGATGAAACAGCCAGCACCAGTCACCTGAGGAATTCACCCAACGTGCAAAATAGAGATAGGAACAAGCAAAAAAATTAAAGAAAAAAAAAAAAAGAAAAAATCAGAGGAGCAGCAACTGGTACAATCAGGCCTTTTGGCTCCCAGGACAGTGGCTAATGGTTTTTTTTTCCTAATGCCAGTCCTGTTGCGTACTCTCAATCCCCTCTGCAACTCTGAAATCCCAAAAGGGCTGAGCAGCAAAAGGTTTTGCGACTGTGTTTTTGTTTTTCCACAGCGAAACCTGACCTGAACTGACCTACAGCTACTATAACCTTTATTTATCTACTTAGCATGGACATTCTTGTTTCACTGCAGAAATCCATGTGGGTGATAACTAATGAGTGTTGCCCGGAACCGTGGGGCGTGTTTTGTTACATATCGTTTATGAACCATATTACCTTGCTAAAATATTACCTCTGAACACAATTCTGGCCCATGGGTTTCAGATAAGGGATTGTGGATCGATACTTAAATCTCCTTCACTGGGGACACATTAGCAATTCCTGAATTTGCCGTGGTATACGCACTAAATCACAAAATAGAATGTGATTGTCAGTAGGACCAAATTATGGCTTTCATGGGCCCCTTCCTCCATAAAAAAGCAATAAAAATTATATTGTACAACTACAGTAGTATAAAGATGAATATAATCCAGGCTGGGTTATAGTCTTTTTTTGCCTGATTTTAAAAGAAACTAAAACCTTTGCTTCAAGTACCACGGTCCTTAGGCCCTGTGCCTTCTGTACCTAAAGAGAAGTCCACCCTGGTTGCCAATATGGTCAGATGGAGCTCAGGTCAGGTCTCAGGACTAGTTAAGATAAGGAGGAGACACTCGATAGAAGGAAGGTAAGTATTAGATTGGGAGCTAAGGAAGTGAAGGACCAGGATTGAGTGGAAGTTGCAGAATAGAGGATTTAAAAAGGAGAGGTTGCAGGGCTGGGCACTGTGGCTCATGCCTGTAATCCTAGCACTCTGGGAGGCTGAGGTGGGAGGATCACTTGTGCTCAGGAGTTCGAGATCAGCCTGAGCAAGAGTGAGACCCTCATCTCTACTAAAAAAATAGAAAGAAATTAGCTGGACAACTAAAAATATATAGAAAAAAGTAGCCGGGCATGGTGGCGCATGCCTGTAGTCCCAGCTACTCGGGAGGCCGAGATGGGAGAATCACTTGTGCTCAGGAGTTCGAGACCAGCCTGAGCAAGAGCGAGACCCTGTCTCTACTAAAAATTAGAAAGAAATTAATTGGAAAACTAAAAATATATAGAAAAAAGTAGCCGGGCATGGTGGCGCATGCCTGTAGTCCCAGCTACTCGGGAGGCTGAGGCAGGAGGATCGCTTGAGCCCAGGAGTTTGAGGTTGCTGTGAGCTAGGCTGACGCCACGGCACTCTAGCCTGGACAACAGAGTGAGACTTTGTCTCAAAAAAAAAAAAAAAAAAAAGGAAAGATTGCAGGTTGAATTGTGTCCCCCCTGCAAAAGATTAACTGAAGCCCTGACCCCGGCACCTGTGAATGTGACCTTGTTTTGCACTTTGCAGATGCAATCAAGTTAAAATGAGATCATGCTGAAATTAAGGTGGGCCCTAATCCAATGACTGGTCTCCTTATAAGAAGAGGGAAATTTGGACCCAGGCACACGGGAAAGAAGGCCACGTGAGGACAGAGGCAGAGATTAGGGACGTGCAGCGGTAAGCTAAGGAACATCAAGAATCGCTGGCCACCACCAGAAGCCAGGAAAGGGACATGAAGCAGATTTTCCCTCTGACCCCCCAGAAGGAACCGACCCTGCAGACAACACCTTGATTTCCAACCTCTGATTTCCAGAACTGTGAGAGAATCAATTTCTGCTGTTTTGATCCACCAAGTTCATGGTACTTTGTTACAGCAGTCCTAGCAAATGAATAGAGGAATTGCAGTGGACAGGCATATGAGAGCCGTTCGGTGGAACCCACCGCAGGGCAAGTTTAAGCTGCCCGGAAAAGCCTTTTGCCCAGCACGCCCATGAGCTCACTGCAAGGAGCACCCTGATGCTGATGGCTGGGTCTCAGTGCTGTGGCTCTTTCACTGCGGCTGCCTTGGAGCGCGTAGAGAAACACAGAACCCGTTGCTTTAAACAGTGTATGAATCGTGAAAAAAAAGAAATCTGCCTAACTTCTCTCCCTGCCAAATACGGCCGTTGCTACTGAGGACGCCAGTGTTTCTATTTTTTGTGCTTAATCCATTCTTTGGTCGGGTCCATGGTACACGACCCTCCAATTTTCTCCTTCAGGTTCTGAGGAACCAAGTGGCACAACAAAAATGACCTCTCTTGGTCTTCGCCCAAATCTTCCTTCTGAAATTGGACCGCAGTGGACACCGAACACACATTTTAAAAAGTCCAGTGCACTTCAAAGAACAGCTTAGAAAGTCTGCACTTGCTGAAGACTCCCTCTCTGAGAGTCGGTCAGCCAAGGGCACCCCCAGAACCCGCCCGTGGGTGAGGGCTGCAGGCGAAGCAGAGACCAGACACGTGGGTACAAAGGCAGTGAAGCCACCAGGTGAGGCCAAAAGAAATCACGCACAGTGTGTACTGAGGGCGGTCTGGGGGAGGTCTAAAGCTGCTTTTCTGGAATAAACAGCTTGTTATATTTTCAGACCACTTTCCTAGGCTGTAGACAGCTATTTTGCAGAGATGACTCCTTCCTTCTCCCTCTTCAAAGGCTTCCTCCAAGGTCTCCTGAGATGTGTCCTGCTGATGCTCCTAACACTAAGTGTCAAGGGAACCTATTGATTATAAAATGCAATTAATCCCCCCAGTTAAATTATTTAGCTGTTTCTGCACGACATGGGCTTCGACCAGAACTGAAATTTGTCCACCCAACTGGAAATATTTCTAATTTTTAATGGATTCTGATTCATTTGCAGTTGACAATATTTACCACTGATTCATGATGAAGGGAAATTAGTTAAGAAATGGTTATGCAGATGAGATTGGTTACTTCAGATGAAATTTACAATTAATAACAGATACCTAATTTTACACACTCCAAATTTGATGCATTCACTAACATCTTTGGAAGACAGAAGAAAACACAACCACGTTGAATGCACCTACCAGTGAAGAGATGGATCCTGATTTCACATACACAAAAATATGAAAAGTTACGCTATTTGGATCCCGGGAAATACGGTAGGGAGCATTTGTTTAATCTTCATAAAAATCAGTGAGGTGGGTGCTAAAGTGGGTGCTAAAGCTCCGACTTTACAGACATGAGACCTGAGGCTCCGAGAGGTGAATCTCCCCAAGGTCACTCAGATGGTGGGTGGCAGAGCTGAAACTGAGCCTAGATCT